AAAAATTGAACTTGATAAGTAAGAGTTATGAACTTTTTAACTTTTTTTAGCTCTGAACTAATTAACTAGTTTTTGCCCAAGTCTGAGTCCCTGAAATATCCGTTACTGGCGTGAGGCCCGTTTGTTAACTTTCCTGCGATTCTCGTTTAACGCCGGCGATCAACGACGACGATCCGGGGCTTAAAAGCACTTTCACGACGTTCGCCGGAAAGATTGGACGCGTTCCAGTGGGCGCGGAGGCTACCAGTGTCGTCGTCATCGTCATCGTCATTACCGTTGTCAACGTCGTCGTCGTCGTTGTATCACGTCCCGATTTAGCCCTTTATACGTCTGCGTTTATACGCGAACTCATTACGCTGCCCCGCGATTATCGTAAAAGTTATTATGCAACCAGCTGATAGTATCCTGTGCCGTTTATTTGCGCAAGTAGATAAAGGCGACCTCGCCACCGCGCATCGCGATGTTACTGTTTCTATAAGGAATATACACTATCGTTGTACAATGTGTGTCTTGGGCGGAGAAATTTCTCAGTAATTTTTTTTTTCTTAAATGTGCATTGTATTTTTCAATACGGCTTACGTATATCGGTCGTTAAATTGCCGATAAAGATTTTTTATAGGGAGAGACGACACATTTTTATTATTTTTCTAAAATACGATATATATGCATATATTATATATAAATTCAATAAAAATTGTTATCGCTCCGTATAATTTTATCTTAGATTATAAATAACCGCAGACAGGTGCGTCTCGTGGTCTAAATAAAGATACTGACCTCTGTGTAGCGCCCAATGTGTGTTCTCTATATATCGAGAAAATGAAATGAATGTAGGGCCTCGAATTTATTCGTGGATTTACCTCGATGTATATCATATCAAGACCACTTTCCGCATTTTCATATCTCGAGTCTTCTGTTTTTAAATTTAATCTTAAAGATACACGCTCAGGGTCATTAATTAAAATGGTCCAGCGGATGCGCGATTATGCGGATGCTATAACGAGATATATATATTACATCTGAATGAATGAACTACTTTTTGAGTCATGACGTAAAGGAGGAAAAATTTCAAGCCAACCGGTCCAAGATAATTTTATTATGGGAAGAGTGCGAATGTTCGCGCAAAATGTATTCAAGTAGAATGTACAGATATAATATATATTAATCAATAAGAGAATTCCCGTTGCTCCAAACTGGAAACGGACCACACCGTTATTCGAGGTATATATCTCCTGTATTAGTAATAAGTAGGTGTGTGCAAAAAAATTGCTCGTTCTTGACTTCTCTCTCTCTCTCTCACTTTGATTAGATTAGATGACGATTTTAGGTAAACGAAGACGAACGACACACACACGCACACATGTACGCATGTACACACATAGACGCATACATGCTTGCGCAGGTGCGACCGATTTCTTGCGTAACGCACATACAACAGACACGCATGTACGATCCGTTTTCTGTGCCGCGGCTCTCTTATAATGTATACAGTTTTCGCAACATAATCTCGGCGGTATTTCGCTTGCTCGACGCGTTTTCGGCTTTTTGTTTTGCAAGCAGGCAAAACACCTAAAGCCACGATCGCTCAAGAGGACTGATCGACCTCCATTCAGCGTTCACGGCCTGGATCCTCTTCTGTTTAGTGACCTTTCATTCGTTTCTCTTTCTGTTTAGCGATCTTTCATTCGTTGGCAATTTTCCGAAAAATTCGTTTTTATACCCCGAAAATATGGCCGCGCGTGAAAACAAACGATTAAGCATGATCAGCTGTTTACTGTCAAACTGACATTCTGAAAATTTTTGGAGCCGAAAGTGTAGTATTTAAATATAATTGACTCCGCATCTTGTAAATATATAGATCTAATTAATAATATCGCAAAAATTCAGAAATCTATCCTAAAATGGCCGGGCGTGAAAACAAACGATTAATCATGATCAGCTGTTTGCTGTCAAACCGACATTCTGAAAATTTTTGGAGCCGAAAGTGTAGTATTTAAAAATATAATTAACTCCGCATTTTGTAAATATAAAACGGCGGGCGTAAAAACAAACGATTAATCATGATCAGCTGTTTACTGTCAAATTGACATTCTGAAATTTTTGGAGCCGAAAGTGTAGTATTTAAAAAAAATTGACTCTGTATTTTGTAAATATGTAAATCTAATCAATAATATCGAAAAAATATTAATTATAATAAACAGATTTATTTTGAAAGCCTTAATAAGCAAGAATATAAAATACTTGGTTACAAAGTTGTTACAACTGGTGTCATGAATTAATAACGCAACTAAAAATTTAGATGTACATAATAAAATAACACGCGAAATTAATTTTTATTATGTATATCTGTTGCGTTATTAATTTATGATACCAGTTGTAACAAATTTGTAACTAAGTATTTTATATTCTTGCTCGTTTAGGCTTTCAAAATAAATCTGCTTATTGTATAATATGAGCTTATTTGAATTATACATTGGTGAATTGTTAAATTTATTAATATTAATTATCATAGCTAAAATTTAGCTATAGTAACTAATTTTCTCCCCATGTCTTTGCATGACATTCATCCAAGAGGAAATGAGATCGGTGGGTGTGTGTTTAGAATTAATTATGCGAGAATTCTTCGTTGATTTTTTTCTCACGAAATGCAACAGGTTATTAAATCGTTTAATAATGACTGATTAGTGGATTACTTGACAATTTGTAATTAATTTCGTCGTTCCGCCCCGAAGCGTAGAAATCGAAATAAGCACTTTTTCTTTATGTTATGGAATATTGTGTATACATTTTTTTAGTTAGTCTTTAGTCTTATGGTGAAAGAAATTCCAAAAAAAATCCATCAAGATTTTCATGCATACATTATTATTAGTTAGCTCATTATCTTCAATTTTAAGTATCAATTTTTTTTAATTCGTGTTATATTAAAAAAATTCAAATATTGAATCTTCTTATTTTGACAAGAAAATTACAAGCTGACATATGTAAGTGTCACAATCTATAGCCTTGACCAACTAGGACACATGCTTGTTAATATAATTAATAAAATAATCATTGATAAAACCATAAATTTCCATGTTCTTTATGATTATCAAAAATTGACATTTATCTTCTAATCGAAAAATTATTTTCTCCTCTTTAATCATTCGGGCTTAATTGCTCGATCCACACTAAATATTATTTTGTTAGTTAATATGAATATATAAAAATATTTAAATTAAATGTATAACAAAACGTATATTTAATTAAAATAATATGTTTAATTAACAAAATAGTAATTTAGTCGAAAGATTTAGTCAAATTAACAAATTTTTGTTCAATGTATTAATGAGATTTTTTAAAATTATAAATTAAAGTTAGTTGCTTATAAAATTAATTTAGTTAAGTTAAAAGTTTCATGAACAAAAAATTATCTCAATTAAAGTTAAGTTAAGATTAAATTAACTGAAGTGAAATCAAATGTTAATTTTAAAAATATTTATATTAAATTAGAATTTTGTTTGCTCATTCTTTTAAAATTTATAGTAACATAACAAAGAAATTTTTAAAATTAATAATACTTTAATTTAAAAATAATACATTTATAACTTATAAACGAACAATAATGGTATTCAGAGATAAAAACAATTTAACTTAGGAAAAAAGTTAATAAGTTTAAGGTGAAAAGTAACTAGTTGAAGTTGAAAATTAATACATTTTAAATTAACTAAGCTAAAACAGTAAGTTATTAATTTTCATTAGTTATTAAAAGTTATTAATTTTTCAACATTTTAAAAAATTTGTAACTAATTAACTAGTTCTTACCCAACCCTGGTATTGAGGTATATCACGTAAAATACAAACTATGTCAAAGGCAGGATCGGAGAGGGTTAACAGATTTCGGGATAACGAGGAGAAAAATGCACAGCGAACGCGGCGTTTGCGTATTCATAAGAGCACTCGTCTTCTCCGCGAGAGAATTGAAATTCAATCGTGCCGTTGTGTAGGTATACACGTACGAACGAACGTGTTTGGTATAACGGTTCAAGGCCACGTCGTCGATTCATGGTCGGATCTGGTGAATTGCGCGATATAGTGTTGTCCAATTGTGTCGTGTAACCGTTTTCGCGAAGGAAACATTCGGCCTCCAGAATTCGACTTGGCTTAGACGCGAATTTATTAAAGAGCGTACGATGCTTCGAACCCTCATATTAAAGATCCATAGATATTTTATCCTCTCTTTTTCTACCTCGATACTAATAATTAAGTCTATATATTTTAATTAATTGGGGAAGATACGAAAGATTCCATTAAAGGAGGCATCTGCTTTAGAAAGCCAAAATAAGTTTTTTTCAAAATTTTTTTATAAAAATTGTATAGCGGATTATTTTTAAACTTTTAGGCATTTATTACCTATTAAATATTTATAAATGCAAAACATTTTTTTAGTTAAAAATATAGTAGAGATCGCTCTATAAAAACCTTCTACTTATCGCTGGAGTTGCAAATTTGCCAGCATTCTCATATCTCCAAATCTTGTCTGAAATTAAAAAATCAAAAATTTTTCATTATTTATAAAATTATTTGTGCAAAAAAATTGTTGAAATTAATTTTTTTATTAATGTTAAAGGTTTATTGGCGAGAAGATTCCTCAAAGGCGACCTTCAAAGTCTATATTTTTAACTAAAAAAACGTATATATACTTGTAAATATTTAATAATAATAAATGCCTAAAAATTTCAGCATAATTCGTTGTAAAGTTTTTCCAAAAAAAAAAAAAAAGAAAAAATTCTCAAAAACCAATCTTATTTTTTGGTTCTTCTAAAGCAGGCTCTCTTTAATTTCTGCTGCATGTGTGTCGCTTTTTAAATGAATGTCACGATATCTTAGGAATTGCGTTTGATGTTACAACAAATAAATAAAAAATTAAAATAAAATAAAAATAAAAAATTAAAATAAAATAAAAATTGAAAATTAAAATAAAATGAAATTATAATTTGCGAATTGATTTTTCTGTTTTTCAGAAAAGAGGCGATCGCTGCGGGAGTGAGATAGACTTCGCTCCGGGAGGTTTTTCCGTCCAAAGTGTAGACCTCAGGATATATAGCTCTTCGGCAACATGTCGATTATAATGCAGTACATAGACCGGTTCCACGATATGTTGGACAAACACGCAGGTGAGTAAACAAAAAGTGCGCGAGAAGAGACGAGAAAAAAAAATATCTTTGCGTGTGTTTTATCGGTAAATGATTTGAATGATAATAAAACGGAGCACGGCGGAACTTGTCAATTCCATGGTGTTTAGAAGCATGCCTGATGACATCATCGACATGTTATAATTGACGATTACGTAGCTGCGCGATCATTTCGAGAGCCCCGATAGATGAACGTACTTCGCGGTATTATATCCTTCGGATTTACATAATTAATGTACGAGAGAGAACAATGTAAATAGCTCGCGGTAGTATAATATTGTTGAATTTATCCGCATATTTCGTTTAACTACTGTTAAATAATTCCGCGGAATATCTTATTACTGAAGTTTACTCTTTAATAATTCATTCTTGATCTTTGATGTTTATAAGATTCACAGGTAAGATATCTTAATTGTGACATAAATTTTAATTTATAATACATTTTTTCTCATTTTTATTTTGCATTTCGAGCATCAAATTTACATAATAAATTTGTTTTTTCCGTTGTTTCAAATTCCGTAAACAAATTTTACATTTTCAGTCTTTATATGATTTCACGCGAATTGATAAATAAATATACATTGAGCGGATATTATTTTCTCTGCATGCTATAAATATTCAAAGATGAATTTTATTTTTATCTTTTATAAATGTTTTGCGAGTTTTATTTTGTATAATAATTCTCGAAATATATTCCGTGGAAATATTGATGAATCCGTAAAAATTGTTTCAACTCGTCAAGAAATCTTGCGTTGCTTGAAATAAAGCAGACGTTGTCAAAAGGCACCAGTGTTTCTGAAATCTTTGCTATCCTATTTATATCCCCAATCACGAAATATCTGTGATAATCGCTCACGTTGAGTTCATAAAATGAGCAAAGTATGAAATAATTATTCAAAGTATGAAACTTTTTATTTAGTATGAATAACATTCTTTCTCCAAGTTTTATCGCAATAAAAACCTTCTTTTCGCAATTGACCGGTCGAGAGAAATCTAACATCTTACGACATTTTATGGTATGGTGATTAATGATAGTATTTATCCTCTTTGCTCATTTACTCTATTAAAGAGACCCATCCGTGTTTATTGTGTTTATATATTAACGATCGAACATTCGATCATCGTACGAAAGTGCGATTGTGCGAAAGACAAAGTGTTTACTAAAACAATCAAAAATTTATATATAAAAAATTAATATATAAATAAATTTGCAGTAAATATTTTTAAAATCTTTCAAAAATATTTCTTAAAAAGAAAATTATTCGTAAAATAATTTTCGAAAATATTTTAAAAATGTTCTATGTCCGATTTTTCATATGTTTAAAAAATATTTTTGAATAGAGATTTGAACTAATATTTCAAAAGTATGTATCAAATATTTAAGAAAATATTATATGAGCGATAAAGAACATTTTTTTTAAATTAAAAATCACAAAAAATTTTTATATCATTTTAAAATATTCCTAAAACCATTTTAAAATGTTTTTATGCAATATTTTATAGAAATATTCAGAAATAGTTTTCGGTGACGAGCGAGGCACTTGCCTTGGGCGAAATTTTTAGAAAACAATTTTTTTAGAAAAATGCAAAAATTATATAAGCATCAACTTATCTATAATAATTCAAGTAGCAAGCGTATGTTATTTTAACGTGGGACGCCAATTACTAATGTTGCCTTGAGTGGCATAATATTTATCTAGATCTAGATTTATGTGATTAGCATTTTGTCTTAGCTTATTTATTCATTTCGCCGATGATTTATATGCGAAAAGTGCAATCTGTTTAATGTATAATGCATTCGAGAGTGTTCAATGAAAAAAATATTACGGGATAATGATTTTCGAAAAAACACGCGTGTTTTTTTCCCGCCAAACGGACGTAATAATTTTTCACATATGCAGTCGTAATTTTTTACATGTTTTTTAAATTTACATTTTTTAAAATTAAAATAAAGTGATTTGTATATAGTTTCCTTTACTGGTTGTAAATAAATCATAATCTCTTTCTTTTTTTCGCAAAAATATTTGCATTCATAGATAATACACAAGCAATCATCTTTCTTATTCGTATGTTAATATTTCTCAGATCAAGTCTCATTTATAAATACCGAAACATTTTTTGACATATGTAAATGCAATACGATTCTTCTTGATAAATCTTTTTTTCCGAAAAGAATTTACATAATCTTTACGTGCGCAATATTCATACATCAACGAAACCGATAGTTATACCTGTTTTTCGTTTCGCTCGTCAATTCGATGCTGATCTTCATTTGACAACAGGTTTTAAGAAACTAATTGCAATGCGGCGCAAATGTGTACCAATGCTCCTACGTCACGGGGAAAGCAAAGGTGGGTGATCGAACCCTCGAAGGACGAAACGAGAACGATTTGCGTCAGACGTGAAAGGACGTCGCGTCATGTGCATGCCTGATATTGCGAGTTGAGTTGAGTCCTTCGAGCCGATGAAATCGCGATCGCGCTCAAGGACGAGACGGTGATTTTTTACCGCCGTTAAATCATGGTCACTGGATCATTCCGGAAAGAAAGAGGATATATCCGCATTGTTGCATGCAGGGCTATCGCTTTGTTGCTGTGATAGAACCAACTTCTTGCGCGATTATTTCTGAGAAGTGGTGCCAAACGACATCAATTTTTGTTTTCATCATTTCAATTCCAATAAGCAAAAAATCATTGCTACAACGTTATTATAATATGATTTTCACTGACAAATAATGTTGTCAAGTATATAGTTTTTAATATTGTATGCAACATCATTATATATGAACAAACTTTGATATCGATTTAGTTAGAGGTTTCGGTATATGTTGAAATATTTTAAAATATTTTATTCATATTTTGAGAGCAATATGTTATTAAATAATATTTTTAAAACATTTATAAAACATCAGTTAAAATAGGTTTTTAATATTTATTAAATACGTTTATTAAAATATTTTAAACATATTTATAGAACATTATATCATAACGTTTAGAAAATTTATATAAAATCAACATTTTAAAATGTTGATTAAATATTTCTTGCTTACTGGGATTCTTAAAGATGGAATCATCTCTTTTTCCATGATAATTTCATATAGTAATCAGATAGTAAAATTTACTATGTATAATACATATTCATATTTTTATTGTGATAAATATTAATCAGAAAAATTTTTATAAAATTCTTCCAATAGCATTGTCCTCCTATTATCATAATTTTCAAGGTAAATTCTAAAGGAAAATTCTCTCTGTGTAGTTACTATATAATTGCCCTGATAGGAAAATGGCCTAAATATTGTAATAAATGCAATCACACATGAAGGAAGGAATTTCAATGATTGCATTAAACGCTTCGCCATAACGCAGCGATTTTGTCAGAATAAAATTTCTAATAGATATTTGCCCAAAAATTGATTTATTACAATTATTGTGTTATATTTATTATAATGATTTATAATTGCAGAATAATTGTGCATGTTTTAAGCATAGATATTTATTCATAAAATATTCAAAAAATAATAAAAATCAATAATATTTATCAATTATTAGGTATAATTTTCCAAATTTAATTTTGCAAATATTTCATCAAGATTATTCGCCATAACGCTACTATTTTGCTGAAATACTATTTAGAAATAAATTGTGGAAATATTTATATTTGCTGAAAGATCTAAATTTTTACATGTATTGGTTCAAATATAAATACATAATTACAGCATTTTAAATTTCATTCAGACTTCATCGATATAATTTTATAAATATTTTCCTATCGGAGAGTGCACAATTTTTTTCTAAACCTTTCTGATGTATCTGCGTATTTATATTTGTGTTTGAAAAATTATAATCGAATGGAAATGAATGGTATGGCGCGTCATTAATTTTAAGAGAATGAAATTTCGAGGCCATTTATGCGAAATCGTTTTGACGTTTTTTTGCAGATACGAGGACGACTGACTGGTTGCTGATGAGTTCGCCCTTCCCCACGTTGTTTATTTGCCTCACCTATGTCTACGCCGTCAAAACATTGGGTCCGAAGCTTATGGAGAATCGAAAACCTTTCCAGCTTAAGAATACCCTGGTAGTCTACAACCTGTTTCAAGTAATCTTCTCTGCGTGGTTGTTTTATGAGGTGAGAATCCGATGTTTGCTCTCTCGCGACGCAGAAACTGTCACGAAACGGACATTCAAGAAACTTTATCCAATATAAATCACATTTTTTAGGAGATAAAAAGTTGAAGATATATTCTCGTTTCAGCGGCTCCTCGACTTTTTATATTTTTTTCTTATGCAAATATTTCCTTATCTAAGATCCTTAAATTTTAGGAACTTTAGAAAAACAAATTAATATATTTTTATATGTGGTTTTACAAGCTAGACTATGAATCAGCACAAAATCTTAATACAAAATTTGGCTTTTGAAATTTAAGATTTAATTTCAATTATTCGTTAATAATTTAATTTATATAATTAAATAATTTCTGGATTTTTACACGATTTGTGACAGTTTCGGATTTATTATACCTTTATTTTCTTCGGCTTGGAGATTCATCGAATCAATTCATTGTCGGCTTTCGAAGTGATTGCCGAGCTTCGAAATCGGTCCAATACTCATCGCGACACGGTTGAGAACGAATAATAATGAACTCAAGGTATATAGCATGCTGTTATTCAATGATTTCGTGATCTTTCTGTGTTCGCTGGCGACCCACTGGAACGCGAAACAACGTCTAATGAAACCTTCTTACTTTATTGCAATCAATACATTTGCCATTGATGCATTCCTTAATGACGCGCTTTTTTAATATTCAACATTTATACATTTTATATATAATTTTATATATAATTTATATATAACATTTATATATAATTTTATATATATATAATATATATATATATATAATATTTATATATATATAATTTTTCTATATAATTTCTATATTTATATATAATTTTAAAATATAATATCTGGACACAAGTGAGAAATTGTTCAATAAATCTCTGGAAAAAATTAAACGACAAGGGCATATTAATGAATCAATTTCGAGTCTTTTGAATTCGCGAATGATAAAAATAGCAATTTGGGAACGCGTCAATGACAAAGCTGTGTGAAAGCATGATTGTACGTTTCTTTTGCAACGCACAGTGTCTGATGGGCGGATGGTGGGACCAGTATAGTTTCCGCTGCCAGCCAGTGGATTATTCCAACAGCCCCACCGCGATAAGGGTAAGTGCGCGTTTGTAATCTAGCTGGACCATTCGACGTGACAAATCTATATATTTCAACGAGACGACAATTTCAACCGAGATCGTGGAACATGAATCAATTTATTCACCGTTGCGATATTGTATATGTATATACAGCCTTGGGCCTTGACAGGTGTACAGATTATACCGAGCTGTGGAACCGCTGATAGATATATCTTGGATGAAGGATTACTCATTTTGAAAAAAACTGTGTGATATTTTGTAGATATTAGGTCCGAATCTTCCTTTTGCGAACGGAGGCTTAGCTGCACAAGGGCGATGCAGAGGCGTACGATTAGATGCGGAGGAGCTTATGCTTTCCTGCTCATCTCGCATAAAGAGCCTGGCATGTCCTTCGACCGCCTCGATACAATCTTTCGCAAGCTTAGATATACACTATTCCTGCTGCCGACCGTATATCGACCTATAAAAATTAGTCAATTGGATGTGTGCTGAATATACATATATCGTACCCTGTTAAAAAAGAGTCGCAGTTGCGGAGTTATTTCTGTTAAACATGTCACATGCGTATTCAATAATTTTTTCCTGAAACAACGAAATCCGAAATTGTTAAATTTTTTTTTGAAAATGATTATTCTCTTTAATTGCGACTGTTTTTTAATGAAAGGTGCGACACGACGTTGTGAAATTTTGCACATATTTTATATATAGCTCTTTTCATTAGGCTTACGCGATACTACTTTATATACCTCTGGCCTTCTTACCTATTATCTTTATTCCCTTGACTGATTGGCGAATGGCCTCTGGGCGAATGTGGTTGCAGATAGGGATGTCCGGCTGGCTGACTGGAGCCTATTCTCTAAGGTGTCAACCTGTAGACTACAGCGACAGACCTGAAGTACTAAGGGTGGGTGATGTTTTGTGATTAACAGAATCATCCTTCCTCATTTTGCAATGTCATTTTTTCGTTTTCCGTAGTGTCTAGCTTTGCAATACGCAGCCCCTGTCAATTAAAAAAGAAATAAATGAATAAACTTGAAGTGCAACGAAAACAGGACATATCACATTTCAAATTTTTTGATTAAATTTCATTAATTGAATTCATTAACAATTTTGTATGTATTTTTTTGATACATGATCAATAATTATCTTTCCCATTTACTTGGAACATGTTTTATTTATCATTAATTTTTTGCCATTAAGGGGATGCTGCCGTTGTTCTGTTTTAACGACTTTAAGTTAGATTAGATTCACTTTTTATTGAATATATAGATTGAAAAATCCTCCATAATGAAACTATTGATAATAATGAATTCTTTCATGTCATCTGTATTGGGAGCGCCATATTTTGTGCACAAATAAACTGCAGAACTTTTATATTAAACAAGTATCGTTATGAGCTGATGCCAGAGGCCGATAAAAAACTGTAATTTTTTAACTTTTATGGTTTTTTAATACGAAATTACAGCGCTCTACGTTTATTATTATCAGTACTTTAATGGTGGAGGAGGATTTTTCAATCTGTATAGCCAATAAAAAGAAAAGTAATAATTATTTTTCCGTAAGTGATTTTTATAACACGCGACCGATCCTGTAGTTACTCCGGTAGTTAGTTGAATGTATTATATTGTGTAGTCTCTAATGTATATATACGCTGTGTGTAAGTTGAAATAAACGAGAAAATTAGGTAATCGAACTTGGTAGAGTTAGCGATATAAGAGAATATAACTTTGAGCTAAACTGTAGTTAACCGCCTGTGTAATTAACACTATTTAACATATCTGTTGTGACGAGAAACACTACGTCTTTTAGAAGCAGTAACGAGCACGCTGTAAGTTACGTAGTCCTCTCTCATTCACGCATCATCGCACTACATTAATTCCTGTCATTGTACCCACACATTGTACTGAGACGCACCGATGTTAATGACGGCTATCTTTTTTCACGGACTCTTGAATACACCGATGTATGACACGATATACATTTATGTCGATGTGTTCTCGCGATGCTTTCAGCACTATCTGAAAATTGCTTTTTAAAAGTTCCGATATAAATGTCTCTATTTTCATTCTGTTTACGTTTCAAGTGATAATTATTATCTGTACACGTTCGACGATTGAGAAGTCGTTTTCCTTTTTTCAAATCGTTGTAACACGCACATTGTCTTCTAAATGAAACTAATTTCTAATTTGTTTGTACCACAATGTGTGAAATGTTTGAAGAGATTTTTAAGTCTATATACATATATAGTAGAAATCAAATTCTCTCTGATCTTTGATACGGGAATGTTGAAGAAATTTAAGAGCATTGATTACACGTTCGAGGGGATTTAACATTTGTTTTCAAGTAAAGTAAAGTGAAAGAGAATTTCGCACATAAATTCGAGATAGAGAAGGGGCGATTGAGAAGTTCCTCCTAATTGATGTTTTGAAATCGCAGATGGTCTACGCAAGCTGGTGGTATTACTTCTCGAAATTTACCGAATTCATGGACACGGTAGGTATAGAGAGTATATTTCAAATATTTTTGTTTATATATATACATATATGTATCAACATGCGTTTGATTGAAATCCTCGACGCTGACTTTGTGCATTCTTCTTTCAGATTTTCTTTGTATTGAGAAAGAAGAACAATCACGTGTCTACACTGCATGTGATTCATCATGGTTGTATGCCCATGTCGGTCTGGTTCGGTGTCAAGTTCACACCCGGTAGGTGAATCAATAAATATTGTTTATCGACATTTTTTTTCTTACGTATTTGACGTCGTTACAAGCGGATTGATTTTGCAAAACTAATTTGTGTCAATGTCATCGCTTTTGCGTTCTAAAGAGCTGAACCTTTCTCATATATGTACAAATGCGTTGGTGATTACGAAACCGGCATGCAAGTCACGCCGATTACGCTTTACAAGAAATTATGACAAAAACTTTTGTTTATTACCATCTATAAATTATAACATAAAGCACATACAGAAGTACATAAGTATAAACTCTGCTTTTCGATCAGAAATTCCTTTCGGAATTACTTTATTACGATTTCCTCTTTAATTATATATATAGTAAATAATATTTAATTATAAATAAATTGTATAATAAATCATTACATGATGATTGGTTTTAAAAATGATCAATATTTCTAGTTTTCTCGATAATGATATTCTTTTCATACTCTGAGAAAATTTTCTCTTAGAATTTACCCTAAAAATCATCGTGGGACAATATGGGACAATATCTACCACAATAAGATATAAAATATGTTCGATTAATTTTACTATACGCATAGTAAAATTTACTATGTACATATTAATATTTTTATTGTGGTAAATATTCTTCCAATATCATATTGTCCCACAATTAACATGATTTTTAGGATAAATTCTAAGAAAAAATTCTCTCCGTGTACATACATGGTACATTAAGCAGTGAGGATTTGGGATAACACTTCTAATAATAATAAATAATATTTTTTTCTCTGATAATTTTTACATTAATGAAGCTGTTAAAGGCCTGTCAAAATTAATTGTCGTTGATGTCTTCCAGGCGGCCACTCGACCTTCTTCGGTCTATTAAACACCTTCGTCCACATCGTGATGTATACGTATTATCTTCTGGCGGCGATGGGACCAAAGGTACAGCCGTACCTTTGGTGGAAGAAGTATCTGACAGCATTCCAGATGCTACAGTTCATCGCGATCATGGTCCACGCCTTCCAATTGCTCTTCATCGAGTGCAACTACCCGAAGGCGTTCGTCTGGTGGATCGGTCTGCACGCCGTCATGTTCCTCTTCCTGTTCAAGGAGTTCTACCAGCAGAGCTACCAGCAGAAGAGGCCCAGGAAGTCGAACGGCGTGGTGACCAACGGCGTCGCCAAGGGTGACCAATCGAAGGGCAAGCACGCGAACGGCGTCGCCAACGGCGCGGCGAACGGCAGCATCACTAACGGCGTCGCCAACGGTTCCTCACCCAGGAGGAGGGATGCCGCCGATTATTATGTAAAAGGCGAAAGCTTAGCGTCGGAGCTCAGCCTCCGAAAATCGTTCGCGAATGTCGAGTGACTTTCGAGCGGACGCTTAGCCTAGTCGATCTTCTCTCTCGCCACGCGACGTCGTGTTTCTCTTTCCGTGAAATGGTCCAAGGATCCAGCGGGCTTTTTTCTCTTCCTCTTTCTCTCTCTTTCTTTTTATCCTTAATCTGCCAATATCATGCGAAGGGTCGAAGGCTTCACCGAGATCGACGCATTTCTTTATCAAAAAAGGAAAAAAAGTACAAAATTATGTCGCACGCTTGCAGCTCGCGGTATACAAATATATTGATGTTTTTTGATGAACGCGTGGCAACTCTCTAGCTGGTTCTAGCTAAGATAACACGCGAGCGTAGTCCGGCGACTAATGCAGAAGGACGGATCGTGTCTTGGTGCTCCTACCAGCACGTAATTTTTTTATCTTGAAAATCATATAAATCGAAATGTTTAGATAAGACGAGTGAACAGATCTGCGATTTTCAGAGGCTCCGACGATAATTATAGGGGAAAAGAACCGTTTATTTCCGAAATAAATTGAATTACACGAAAAATGTAATCTTCTTATATACAAGCATTTATAACAGCGCATTTGAAACAAGTCAAGTGACTTTGATACAATTATAAAAAGAAGTAGAAGTAGGAAATCGGAAAGAAATTGTGAATATCTGGGAGGCGACAGAATAAACGTTAGCTTTCTGGGATCTTCCCGATAGTTATATTCAACGGCCAATGAATCATCACGTCGACATTCCTTGTTCGCCGCTTTCGTAATTGGAAATACTCGGATGAGCGTTTTCGATCCCTCTCTCGGTGCGCGGGAAATGTGTTCCTTCCACTTTGATAAAAATAAACTCCGCTGACATTTTACGATCTCACACTCGTGCGCGCGCGCTTAGTAGAAATTCGCGATGTCGCGTTCCGAGGGACGTAGCGCGATCCTGACGTTACGTAAGAGAAGAGAGATTACGCGAATAACGGTAAATTACAATAGCCGCATTTTGACACGGTATCGTTACGTAATTAAATGAGATTTTTTTTCGTTTACATTTCGGTCGCGTAGAAACGCACGTAAGACTCGCGCGCGCGTTTCATCCAAAAGAGTCTATGGTGACCTTAACCGAGTCGAATGATCGGACTTTCGAGGTTTCTCGCTTGCATCAGCGCAAAAGGACCGCCGTAGATCGAAGCTGGGATGAGGAATGTTCGTTATGATGATGAAAAGTCACGGTCGTTGAATATCCGATCTTATTCATCGTCGCAATCTATATCACGTCAGAGTCTATTGAACTCTGTCCATTGCTCTCTCTTTCTCTCACCATTATGTATAGATTCGAAAAGTTTTATTTTTCATTGTTGTATATTAATATCGTATATATTATATAATGGTTATCATAATCTAAAATATGATCGAATTATAAAGAAAATTGCAGTTTTATATACTATAGAATATGAATCAATTTTGTAAAATTAAGACGGGTCCATAATGGACCAGTTATTCAAAATTCAAATTGTATAATGGTTAAAAAAAATTATATAAATTATATAATAGTTATCATAATTTAAAGTATGATCGAATTAAAGAAAATTGCAGTTTTATATACTATAGAATATTATGAATCAATTTTGTAAAATTAAGACGGGTCCATAATGGACCAGTTATTCAAAATTCAAATTATATAATGGTTATAAAAAAAATATATATATATATATATATATAAATTATATAATAGTTATCATAATCTAAAATATGATCGAATTAAAGAAAATTGCAGTTTTATATACTATAGAATATTATGAATCAATTTTGTAAAATTAAGACGGGTCCATAATGGACCACTTATTAAAAATTCAAATTATATAATGGTTATAAAAATATATATATATATATATATATATATATATATATAAATTATATAATGGTTATCATAATCTAAAATATGATAGAATTAAAGAAAATTGTAGTTTTATATACTAGAATATTATAGAATATTATGAATCAATTTTGTAAAATTAAGACGGGTCCATAATGGACCAGTTGTTCAAAATTCAACCGTATACGAATGTCAGAGTTGAATGGACGGGAGTAAGAGTGCGATCGCGTCAGAGTGTCTTAAGAAGACAGGCGTGCCTTTGCTCAATACTTAAAGCTCAAAAGCATATCGGTTCGAAATATCAGCAACCGATTTCTGTGATCGTGTACGTCGACTCGCGTATGAGAGACTCGACCCTCTCGTCTTTCCTTCTTCTCCTTCCTTCGCGCGCCCAGCAGCCGATTTCCGGTCCCAGCGTCGCGACGCCCTCATCGCGGATCATTCGCCGTCTTGGTTGTCACTATTTAACGCGTATGAATACGCGAAGCGTGCGTTGCGTTTTACGATCGTTAGTTCTTCGACTTGAATCTCTCTTCGAGATATCTTATTTAGGATAAGATAGCGATTGACAAATTATTAAATTAAAAATTATTATTATATAAAAAATGAATACGAGTTAATTAATTATAATTATCGGTTAAAGAACCGCTTAAAAGTAAGCTCTTTCTTCTCAGCAGAAATCGAAGGATTAAAATAATTTGAAATGTTCAGCGCGTCTCGCTCGCTTCGCGCATTTCATATATAATACATAGCGTCTTGTACATATAGGTAAGTTAGTTTTATATTACGTTAAAAGAGAAGTTCGAGGTGCCGAGCCACACTTCGTATCGAAATAATAATAATAATAAAAAATTTGAATTGAGGGGTCAGAGTGCTAATTTATATAAATCCACATGCGTGTATGTATAAGAGGCGAAAACTGTATGAATAAAATCACATTAAGATGGACGAGTTAGAGTTGCGGCTACGTACATAAAAAAAAAATACAAAACAAAAAAAAACGTGTCAAAGAAACGACTTGAGGTTTCGATTCTTCTTGAACCTCCAGTTCGATTACTGCCCTTCCTTCGAATCTTATAATTTGAATAATATTTTAGATTATGACATGTATAATTGAAGAGCTTATTTTTATATATAAGTGGACTTGGTTTATTATAATTTCCTTCCTTTTCGTAAACAAGTATATTCTTGGTCATTAATTGGCCGGAGCTTATGTCACTTATTCTCTCGAAAACAAAAAAAATTTATAAATATTAATTCTTCTATCATCTAAATTGATAATAAGCTCTTCGATCACGATTTATTATGCAATAATGTTATACATGTACCGTACGTGAGCGACTATCTAAATTTACAATGTGGAATATTATGAGTAAATTAATTTTTTTGTATTAAAATATCCACAATATAATCGCTGTAACGACAATAGGTATTAAATGTATATGTATGGTACAAAAAAAAAATATACATAGACAATCCGGCGAACTCTTTTTCCCACTCGGCCGAGAGCTTGAAGTTATTTTGTTGCAAGTGACTCGCCAGGGTGGGATACGCCGAAGGCGAATTATGGGCGTGCGCTGCCAAATCTCGTGAGAGAGTGATCTGTGAAAATTCCAAGTGCTCTTACACCGAGAGAACTTTTACATTGTATTGTAACAAAAATTAATTAATCGCACAATTGGTTAATTACGTGTATTAATTACGTCACGTATTTTTGTGAAAAATATAAGTTTATTTACTATTCTTGTGTACTCTCAATATCGGCAGTGCCGTTATCTCTTATACTCTATACGCATTATAATTAGAATTTGCAAATTCCTTTCTCCTCTATTTTGTTAATCAAATTTAATCTTGATGAAAGAATTTATATCGATTTATCGAATTTTTATATTTTTGAAATTTTTGTATAAACTTATCTATATATATATATATATTTGATATAAAAATACATTATATTTATATAAGAATCTTTGTACACGCGTGATAATAGCACAACTTAAACGGTAATAAAATACAGTAGATGCACATTTCAATCATTTACTACTATTTTGTATCATATATAATAATATGTTGTAACGTTGCAACCAATCTTTAAAAGACACATTGTCTACAGTCGTTTCGATAAGCGCCATCGCTTCTTGAACCTCTTGATGCGTCCTAGAAAAACATGATATTCTTAAATCCAAGATAATAATTACAGCTTGAAATATTATTATTCGCAGATTGGATTCTTACCAAGTTTTTAAAACTGCATAAAAATGTTCAATCTCTTCGCGCGCCTGATCGTAAACGATGCTGGCACGGTTTAATAGCTCCAGGCTATTGTGATCATATTTTTCTCGTGATACTAATCTATCGGTGCTTTGATTAAAGTCTTGGATTGATGTGGAACAATGTAGCTTCGTATAAAATATATTAGCAATCGCATTCCTATAACATTCTATGAGACAGTATATTGGCATCTGTATCATTGGGAAGTAAGTTTTAATTCTCCCCCATTGCGGTTTGATCGTGGTAACGGAGGTTTCATTGAGATTACAGATTGTATGTCTGCAAAACAATTCACACACCATGTTAATTATCGCGTAAAATATCAACGCAAAATTTAATATATGAAGCTTCTACCAACCTGTATTGTCCCACATCTCCTTTCAGCATCACTTTTCGCAAAGCTTTGAGATCTAAATTATAATAAAACACATCCAGCTCGATATCCAATGCGTTATTCAAGCAATTTGAATCATAGTTATCGGACTGTAATGCCACTATCTTCTGTAATCCGTAATGCGACTTTTCTTTTGCTTTAAGTATAAACGACGTCGCAGAGTTGAAAATGGCTATAGACTGCTGAATATTTTTTACATATTCGTCCTGCAACATATTTAATATATTAATATCAAAAGTGTGACAAATGTAAAATATATTAAAACGTACCATCTGTGCATCAATCGTTTCTATATCAGTCGTTAATCGAGCTATATCGTGATTAAGCGAAATGTTTTGCTCGGCATTGTTCTTTGATTCTTGTACTTCGTTTTGCAAGTATGCTTGTGCAGTTTCTAATTTTTTCACCTCCAATGTCAAAACTAACCATGTGCTTACATTTTCATGATTAGACGATAATGACTGTAAAATGAAAATGTATAATAATTCTCATCTTATTTTCGTCGACAATGATATCGTTTTTTCATAGTTTATTATTTTAAAAAAATCCATACATTACCTCGATTGATTCTATGAGTTCCATTAAACGTTGCTGACATGCTTTAACTTTAGCATCAGACAATACACGTTTTGATATCAAGCATATATTTTGACCACATAATCTTGCAATACCGATATCTAAATCTTCGCCTGTTACAGTCGAGCTGCTGGAATCATTTTTGATCTCCAACTTCATTAATTTGTCCAAGTCTAATGATAGTGATTGATACAAGTATGTCCATAATGTGTGTGCATTGATAGAACCAAGAGAGCTTGATATCTTCTGCCATACCTATTAACGAAACATTATTTTTAACAGTGTTATATGTAAATTATTTTTATATAATATCCTGTATACTCACTTGCTTTTTATTTGCAGTAGAACGCAAATCTATTATTGTGTCCAGATTTTCTCTCAATTTCTGTTGATCTATGTCTTTGGAAGTGTTTGGCATTAAATGTTGACATACTCGTCTCATATCATCGCAATCTTTCAACTGTTTACTGGTTTCATCATGTTTTAATTTCAGAAAATCTTTTTTTATACCAATCAATGAACGTTTGTCCTTTATGTCTTTCATCTGTTGCACTGAAATAGAACTTGTTAAAATTGCATCTAAATATTCTTACAATTAATACATATTTTAAAAATTTTACTTTTTTGTCTGACAATATAATCTTGTTCTTCATACTCCTTTTCTAACGTAGATATTTGTTGTTTCAATGCATTATCTTTAGACCTTAATTGATTTAAATGTTTTATAGATGTAATTGTAGAATCGTTCAATCCATGCTTTAATTTGTACAACAAAATATTTTTCCTTATTTTACATACTTCTTCCATAGGAAATACAGAATTGGAAATATCCTCCCACAGGAGCTTCAATACTCCCTTACACAATCTAGAAAAAATAAAAAAGATGATAATAAAAATAGCAACAGTTTCAATTAAATAGATTGGTAAATGGATAAATTAATAAACAAACGTTTTCTTTATCAAATCATTGAATACTGTTGGTGGGCATCCAAGTTGGCGAACCCATATAAAATCATTTGCCATCTCATTCATAACGATGCTGTTTTCGTTTCTCTGAAAAAAATGTGAGTCTGTTTATAACAAGGCAACATATTTTTTTGTAATAAAAAGTAGACAAACATTGCAGTTTAAATTAAAATCTTAGAAAAAGACAAGTTTATAAGGATTATTGTGTATTATAAAACTGTGTATATTTCTAATAATTATGAGATGAATATTTTAAGTTCATATAATATATATATACATATATATATATATAATTATTATTATTATATTATTATCTTGTAAGTATATATTTATGTGAAACAAGTTTTTATCTTTGATATTTAATTCATGTTCTTGCATATCATGTGCATATGAAGTTAATATTTAGATTGCTATATTAAAGATAATTTTTATTTTTTACTTACGTAAACTTATTTCTCGTTCACTCAATATTCAACTGTCAACATTTGACTTTGACGTTTACGAAGCATGTATTCATAACGTATTTCTCTACTTTTGTATATATTTTCTAACCACAGTAGTGCCAACATTTCAGCTTTAAAAATCTATAATAGAAATCCCTACTTTTTCGACAGAGCAATCCGAAACGTTTGACATTTTTTATGCGAGAGGGCGCCACTTTCACTGATTTTGTGCTGTTGCCGCGCTACGTCACCATTAAACCGCCATTTCCCGCCAAATAGTCCCGCGATCTAGACGTGCTTTTTTAGTCGTGACATTTTCAATATAAATTTTTTGCATAAAGTGTTTGTGTGTGTGCGCGCATTAATGCTAATCAATACTATATTGTTTTCTGCTCACAGACGACTCGGCCTGTCGAATGGATTCGCCGATATATGTAAGTCTTATCAAACATCATTTTTTACAATTGTTTCGGAACAGCGAAAGAGCAATATATATCTTTCGGTTGCTTCAGAATAGTTTTCACTGCTTTTTAATTAGAAACAAAGCTCGCAAATCTGTCGAGCATGAAAAACGCATTTTATAAGCGCGTTATATATAAGTAAATATTAATGCGTGAATGGTGTCCCCAGTAAATATTTCAAGATCTTTCTAAGAATTCATTAGCGCGCGGTTGACCTTTTTCTATATCCACCCTTACATGGAATAAAAGTTAATTTCCTGGAAACCGAGTCTGCGACAATGATTTTTATAAGTTGTTGGTTACACAGAAGTTGGTAAGTAAATGTTTTAGCCACTGGTTTCTGGAATCACAGAATGAGGTAGTAAAAAAAGAAAGAGCGGAGTAACATTTATACGTTCTTCAGTATAAGAAGGAAGAATATTTTATATAACTTATATAATATATTCTCAACTAAATATAAAATAAAATAAATTTTTGCCTACATTGGAAACGTTTCACAGCAATTTTCACAAAAGTAAATTGTTATAAAAATAGAAAAGATATTTTTATAGTAAAAAAAAATTATAACAAAAAATAATTAATTTTTTAATTGATCTTTTTGCCTATCTTGATTTAATGTTTTATCCTTGCTTTTTCACGCTTTTTCGAATTTTGTTCGTGAAGACAGAATCATAAAAAAAAAAAATGAAATATATTTACGTTCTTGAGTATAAGAAGGAAGAATTATATCTTAATGTATTCTTAACTAAAATAAAAGTAAAATAAATTTCTGCCAATATCGGAAACGTTTCACAACAATTTATACAAAAGTAAATTGTTATAAAATAGAAAAAAATATTTTTAGTAAAAGAAATTATAACAAAAACAATTTATTTTCAAATCCATTTTTTGGCCTGTCTCGATTTAATGTTTTTTGCACTTTTTAGGATTTCACTCGCAAAGACGGAATTATAAAAAAAACGGAATAACATAATTTACGTTCTTGTATGAGTATAAAAAGGAAGAATATATATTCTTAACAAAAAATAAAATAAAATAAAATAAATTTTTGCCAATACAGGAAACGTTTCACAACAATTTTCACAAAAGTAAATTGTTATAAAAATAGAAAAAAAATATTTTTAGTAAAAAAAAAAAAATTACGAAAAACAATTAATTTTCAAATCGATTTTTTTTGCCTGCCTCGATTTAATGTTTTCTCCACGCTTCTTCGCACTTTTTCGGATTTTGCTTGCGAAGACACAAAAAACCGAGTAACATTTACGTTCTTGAGTACAAAAAGGAAGAATTCTAACTTAATATACATTCTTAACTAAAAACAAAATAAAACAAATTTCGGCCAATATCGGAAACGTTTCGCAATAATTTTCACAACAAGTAAATTATAATTATAAAAATAGAAAAAAAATTGTAGTAAAAAAAAAAAAAAAATGTTTAAATCGATCAAATGTTTTATCCACGCTCATTCAGATTTCGCTCGCGAAGGGGAAACTATAAAGAAGAGTCGCGTTCGTTTTGCGGCGGATAAGAAATCGTCATTGCGGAGAGAAACGACATTCATGCAAGTGTGGGGGAGATCACCCGTTGCAGCAGCGGCCTGCGAGGGTGGTCTGACGTAACGCGACGTTACGTCAGACCGTGCTATAAAGTGCCAGAGGGATGATGGTGGTAGCTCGCGTGGGGGTAGCTCACGACGAGGGGATCGACGGGAAGAGGGTAGGGTTGTGTCGGAGGAGGTTGGCACGTCAATAGGAGAGAATCCCTCGGTCGCCGGGTAGGGAAACGAACCCTCGAGTGGGGGATAGAACTCGTAAAAGCTCGCAGCCAGGGGATGCGAGAGGGATAATTGTCTCTCGAACCTTGCCTTCTTTCGAAATGTGCGATTCCTACAGTGACGATTTCCGGGATCGTGCATAAGTTCGGGGTCATCTATGTTTAGGGCTAGTTTTCTAGGAAGAGATAGCTTTTTCTCTTTAGCATTTGTTATTCGCGTATATACACATATCACTTAGAGTCAACGTCGGTTGAGGACGAAAATAGAAACTTAGTTAGATTCCAGGTAACGTTAGCTAATATATATTTATAGAAAGATCAATTTCGTGGTAATAAATTGCCATTAAAATCCATTTATCCAAAATAAATTTCTCTCGAGGTCTATATAATCTGCACCATAATCGGACCGTTAATAATAATACGCAGTATAGTATTACATTGATGTAATTACAACACGTGTAAATATATATATATATATATATATATATGAAAATGGTGCACGATTGATAATTCAAGACTCGCTTGAAAGCTCATGTCGGCTCCGGGGCTCCTAATTTTGTAACGTCCTGTGCCGATGCACACGTCACGTGACGCAACCACCCTCGCAACAGTTTCGATATACATGATTTAGTGGTGTGGCGCTTGCCACAGGATAGAGACCGGGTTCTGTCCATTCAACCCATCAGACCCGTCGTGTCAGACACGTCGCTCTAGGCATCGGGCATTTAGATACCGTAAGTGGTTTGCGGCTACCATTGAGCTCGTACATCGGCCGCGAAGGAGGGACGAGGTCGGGAGTCACCCTATAATCGGACGCGACTGTAAGAACGGGGATGGAAACCGGGTAGGGAAAAGCGACGGCTGGAGAAAGGGTATTATTCTTCGTAGGGGTGGCGCACGGTCAGTGACGTACGACAATGTCGACGTTATCGCCCATCGACCAGAAAGAGGGAAACGCGACGTGACGGTAACGACTGCAAAAAACTGCCGCATGAAACACGGCAGTTACACATTTCTGCGACTCTTTGCGTTAATCAGAATCCCCGGTAATCTCCTTTCCTTTTTCTTTTTTTTTTTTTTTTTTTTATTATTTTAACCGCGAACTCGCGGCGCTACTCGAAATAAAATAATAGAAATCTCTTAGTAAAATTCTTAAATTTCTCTTAGTTTTAGAATTTATATTACATTATTCGGTCAATTTATATATGTTCGTTATATTTTACGCAATGTATCAAATATTATTAGTATGTGCAAAATGCATATTGAACATAAAACTTTAATATGATGTCAATGATTTTCGTCGCATATGTCGATTAATTTCGGACTCTGATAATTTTGTAGAGATATAAAAACTAATTTAATTACAATTTTTGGTAAAGCGGTATTTTCAGCTACGTAATTATGCGTTCTGTTTGGTGGAAGTGGGTTGTCATGATTTCAATAGCGTTGGAAATTTGTACGTTTTTTAAAATGCGATTTACTGTAAATTTAACAAAGTAAATGCATAGAGAAATTTAAACCAGCGTTTGTCGTATTTCGAGAAGCACTTAAAAATGATTGTTGACATTCTGACGCGGAACCTCGCGGTGAAATTCCGTCACTGCGATTTTACGAACGGAGAATAAGGGGTAGTTTGCTAGGGGCGTCTCCATCGCGAAGGAACCAGGTGTTTATGTAGCAAGGTTTATCGAATTTAACAGGAAATGTCAGGGATTATCCAGCCGCAATTTTATCTCTATAAACATCACGCGACTCCAATTTATCTAAATTATTTGTGTTTCGCGTCATTAACTATATTTCCGCCCTTTACTGATTTATTTAGCTTGACAAATTCTTCAAGTAACTCTTCCTGTTTATTTCGTATAATAAAAAAAGATAAAGCATTCGGAAACATACAAATCTCACATTATCGTTTTAATTTTTAATTAATAAAGGCAAACATATATGTGATAGTAATAATTAATAAATATCTTTCTTTTTTTTCGATATAGGGATGAAATAAAATATTTATAATAAAAAAAAGATAGCATTCGGAATCATACAAATCTTATTATCATTTTAATTAATAAAGGCAAAAGTATGATAGACTGAAAAAAATTGAACTTGAGTAAACCTTTCAACTAAATATTATTTTGTTAATCGAACCTATCAAAATATTGAAATATAACATTAAATTGAACAAAATAGTAATTCAGTTGAAAGTTTTAGTCAAGTTAACAAATTTTTTTCAGCGTAGTAATAATAAACATATTTTTTTTTCGCTATAGGGATACTTTCTTATTTTATAATAAAAAATAGCATTCAGAACTATACAAATCTCATTATCATTATAATTAATAAAGGCAAAAGTGTGATAGTAACAATAAACATATTTTATTTTTTATTTTATAATAAAAAAAATAGCATTCGGACCCATACCATAATCTCATTATATCATTTTAATTAATAAAGGCAAAAGTATTTTAATTTTTCCTATCATTCCTATTTTATTTCATCCCTATAAAATCCATATTTAATTTTTGGTCGATATAGGGATGAAATAAAATAGCATGAAAAATAGTAAAAAAATACCTAGCTAATGCACACACATATAGAGAGTTTTATGACAGTTATATCGAATCGCCCACGCAAAAGAGCCGCCACTGTTCGGGGTGCCGCGTCAAGGGCGAGCTGTAACGCTGGTGGGGGTGGCTTCGGCTGGTAGGGGCGCGTCGCTGGCGACCGGGGCGCTAGAGGGTGGCGGCAGCGTGAGAGGCAGAGAGTGTAACCCCACGGTCGCACCGCCACCCGTGCGTCGTCGTACTTAAAATGTGACTCGGGGTAGCATAGTCGTGCGAGAGTGTAGAGAGATTAGTCGTGCTTCGCGCCGGGAATAAATAATATCAATGTCCGCGTATTTTAGTTTTTAGCCAGGCGTAGAAAAATATATAATAGTGAGTAAGGTTTATCCGAGGATATATATATATATATATATATATATATATATATATATATACTATATATATATATATATATACGTGCAACGGGGTCTCCGTCGAGAGAGGCACACAAGGGTGGAAAGTCAAGAGACGGACGGAGTGAGATCAAATATACCGTTCGATCGTCGGGCCCAAGTGATCTCGGGATATTTCGGGGACCGCCGTTGCGAACGAATACATATCATTTTATCCTAGTTGCAGAGAGTGAGATAAAGGGCGGAATATAGGAAAGGGAGGAATAACGCGATCAACGAGTCGAACGTTGCTATCGCGCGAATTTCATGAGGGTACACGGAGGAAAGGATCGAGAAAAAGGGAGGAAGAAACGTCGCGAATTTCATTGAGATGAATATACAAAGATATATATAAATATATATATATATATGTAGGTAGATAGATAGATAGATAGATATATGTATACACATGCGCAACGCGAAACGTGTGAGTGTACTTGGCTTCGAGGATCGTCATCGTCGTCGAACGCGTCTATTTCCGGCCCCGAGGATTCAGAATAGCGGGGATCGCTCGAGAAGATTCCGGAAGTGACTGAGACGAGAGGGATTCCCTCCCTTTTTCCTGAATGTGATCGCGCCTCCGAGCAATTATATACGCGCATCCTCGTCGCCGTCGTGTATTTTTCGTGAACTGTGATTCTTTGTGCCGTTCGTCGAGGGATTTTGGGACAGCGATCTGCGACGACGGGATAGATTGGCAGACAGGGTAAGTAATATATGTTTACCCTCATCTCGTTCCTCTGTCCGCTCCGGACGGTTTCACTCGCGCGACACATCGAGTGGAAGATTAATCGAAAACAGTTAGGCCGATTAAATCGAACCCCCATATCGGAAACCAATTCATTAGGAATTGGCTTGGAATACTGCTTACATCGAATGTGACGTTTACGCATCAACTTAATGCAATTCCATTTCGACATATTAATCCGGGAAAAGAGTTTTTATATATAATTATATAAAATTCTATAGAAATAGTATACAGGGTGTCCGGTAACTAACGGATCAACGATTACAAATGGATTCTTTGGTCAATTTGGGAACGATTTTTCCTCAGCGAAAATGTCGAAAAGGGTCATCATTTTTTACTACTTTCCAATATTTGTCATTATGTGTCTTTATAACTAAGCCTCGAATTCAAGTTTTATTATAGTAAACTCTAATTGAAATTAACTGAAGAATGTAATTATGTTAGACTTTTAACTCCAAAACGTTTAGTTTTCAAAAAATCGATTTATTTCAATCGCTTATAACTCGAAAATTATTGACTTCTCAACGTTTTTGCTAAGGAAAAATCGTCTTCAAATTGGCCAGAGAATCCACCCTGTATAAAATTATACATAATCGGAAAATTATATATCAAATGTGCTAGATAAAAGTGCTTTTTTACATATAATTATATAAATTTATATAATAAATAAGTATTTCTTTATATATACACTGAAAACGATTATTTGACTTAACAAAATCTGCGGTCGAATATGTGCAAAAAAATCAGTATAATATTAAGAACTAAATATTTTCTTTTTAACAAAATATAGTTTGTATTACATTGATATTTATTTGTACGTATTCGACCACAGATTTTGTTAAGTCAAATAATTTTTTTGCAGTGTATAAATATATATGTTTCATATATAATTTGAACCCTTATAATTTATATATAAATTTATATAATTATATATAAAAATGGACATATTTTACATATAATTTTGCGATTATATGTATAATTATATAGTTATTTATATATAATTATATATAAAAAAATGTTTTCTCGGAAACTGATCTTAAAATATAGTTGATATAATTTATACTTGCCTATATTACATTCTTAGTTAATAATAATAATTAATATTATTATCTGAAGTTTATATAATTATTGTGTCAGATAAATTATATTAAAAAAAAAAGAGTTTTCAATATTTGTTAATTTTTTAAAAATGAAAAGAGTTTATTCTTAACAAAATATTTTGTCAATCTTACATAATTAATTCTTAGGCTTTAATTGCAAATGAACCTAGAACTTTTTTACAAGATTATTCCATTTAATATAATTGTATATATATTAACGAAATTAAAAACTGATTATTTTCATTCTGCAACAAATTTGTTTAGTCGATTGATTTTAAATTTATTATTGTGCCGTATTTCTTTTTTATTCCATTTGTTATATTTTCCTATCAAATTAAGTCTTTTACACTTAAAAATAACAGGGTATCGTTTTGTAAGTGTTGATATAATTATGACAAAAATACAGTTTAAAATACACTTTGTGTTATCAAATATAAAATTATAAATGCTAAATTATCGATTTACTGATATAAAATAGTAAAAATGTCAGTAGGTTAAGATATACTATATAACTTTATGTACAACAATTATTTTAATCTTTTAAATCTTGAGTAATTTGTACTTATTTGTTTTATGTGCATTTTGAATATTTTGCACACCTAAAATACTAATAAACATAATAATATAAAATATTTTCAAGAATTATTGATTGCATTATATCAAATTATACTTATGTTATTAATATTATCGTTTAATATTGATTTTATCATTTAATATTGAACTGGGATGTTCTCAAAATATTTGCGCACCAAATATTGATTCGCAATAAAACACTAAAATTCCTCGTTACTGTATAAAATTAGATCAAATACTGAGACTTTATTATTTAATATTAAATTCGTGCAAATTATAAAATATAGCTCAAATACTATATAATTAAAATATTTATATTTTCTTATATATGTTTAATGCACCAAATGCATTATGCGAAATAAGTAATTTTATTATGAATGTCAGAAAAAAACGATATCCAATTACATTTGCGAGTGTAATTTGATTCGATGGTAAAGTAACGTTGGAAGCAAGAAGAGAAAAGTAGTACAACATAACAAAGTTCTGCGGTCGATTGATCAAACAAATTCGTGGCAAAACCGAAAAACTGTTTTATTAAATCTTGTATTGTCCGTTGTGATAACTGGTATACGCAGTAAAAATATCGGCGAATACGTAAAAATGTCTATAAAAGAAATACAACGAACAATATTATGCTTGCCAATAAAATATCTGCTCTTGTAAAAAAAACGGATAGACAGGCGCTCTAATGTCGTAAAGTATATGTGAACATACTACAAATATAAAATACACGTACATATACATTGTACATAGAAGAGATGTCGCAGATTCCCCGACTTTCGACGACAAATTTTTTCATCAATTAAAATTCGAGGTCTTTTTTCCGGGAAAAAATTTTTTATATATAATTATATATAAACAATTGTATAATTGTACATATAATCGTAAAATTATAATCGTGAAATCTCTCCATTTTTATACATAATTATATGAAATATATAAATTATATGTAAGAGTTCATATATAATAATGTCAAATTATATATGAAACATATATATATTTATATATATATGAAGAAATACTTATTTATATTAGTATAAATTTATATAACTATATATAAAAGCACTTTTATCTAATTATGTATGGACGTATTTTATATATAATTTTGCGATTATAGGTATGTATAATTTTATATATTTCTATATAATTTTATATTGTTATATATACAAAATTTTTTCCCGGGTTCCAACTAAAAATCTTGAAGTGCAAAAAATAGTTTTCATATTACAAACAAATCAAGGACTTCTTGCAAATTAACTTTTCCCCACGATGCAATTGAATAACAAAACTCTCTAGTTTATTCGACTAAGTAAACTTGCTTTCTCAGAATATTAAATCTAAGTTATTCATTACCGATATTCATTAATGTTATAAATAAATTAGAAAGATGCGCGCGGCGCAAAAGGAAGGGATTGCTTTAAATTGATCTATAAATATTAAACGCGTCTTAATTTTGATACATATATAAGAATATTAAATTTCCAGAAAATCTGTACAAATAGATACACACAGTAGAAAAATTTGTTTTCTTGTGTTAAAACGGTCCCCGTTAAAATTTTTGTGTTAAATATTTAAATGTTAAATTATTAAAACAACTAAAAAAATGTAAAAATAACAGAATTCGTATTTATTTTTAATTTTACACAATAAATATGTTCTGCTTTGTTAGTGACAAAATTTTTCTGTCAAAATTTACAGAAAAAAATGTGGATTTCCTATAATATAAGTGGGGATGATAAAATCTAAATTAATTTTTACATTAAAAGTATGTTAATTTTCCATCAAATTTATTTCAAATTATTTGAAGTTTTGCATTTATTTAGTGTTAAAATATTAACACAATATTTGTGTCTCCATATTACGTTAAATTAAAAATTTCTGTGGACCGTTTGGGACATGTGATATCTGTTAAATTGAACCGAAATTTGTCGACTGTGTAGATAAAAACGAGCATGTGTTTTCCGCTTTTTTTTCTCTTAAACATCTTAAAGTATATGCATCGGCAGCGTGTGTCCCTTGCTCGGCTCTTATTTTCGCATCGAGAAAACTATTTCCCGATGCGGTTGGAGCGTGTAAAGGTTTCCATATCACGAGAGTCTGAAAATACCGAGCACATATGTTTATACACGACGAGGCACTCTCACCTTTATCACGGGATTCCACTCACGTCGCGATATGTCACTTGCGAATAACGTGCGCGCGATCCTGTGTTTCATATATATGAATCAATTCCTCACCTCTGATCTATATATTAATAATCGCGTTAATGCAATATATCGGAACAACAATGAACGATATTTCTCTCGCGTTTTTCCAAAAAACGCATCTCATCGTTATATATATCTTTATCGGGTCGATCGCGACTCGATTGCATGCTCGTATATTCGAATTCGCGGAACGCGAAGCGTTAAATATTCCCTTTCGCTAACGCGAATCTGTACGGCGCATTTATCAAGCTGTACGTGCGGTTCTGCATATAGATACATATATATAGATACGTGTGTGATATTGCGTAGGATTTTAGCCGAACTCTAGGTACAGGAATAAATTATTCATCGTTTGCAACAACCACGCGATATTTGCAGCAACGCGGGCAACATTGTGTCTAAACATAGAAATATAACGACGTTACGCGCAAAATTACTCGCACATATGGTATGTGTGTGTTTATTCTCTCGTTATCATTTTAATAAAACGATCATATAATTTCAAAAATTTAGCATAATCGTGCAATTTGTGTGGAAAACATAATTATGTATCTTTCATTCTTCGAACGAAATTAATTTTCGGGAGTGCAAGCAAATCAATGTAAAGTGTGTGCGATTCATATTTTAATTTCCCGGGAAACAATTTTTTATGTGTAACGATATAAAATTATATAGAAATATATAAAATTATATATACAATCGCAAAATTATATATCAAATATGTCTATACATAATTAGATAAAAGTGCTTTTTATATATAATTATATAAATTTATATATGTATATATAATGAATAAGTATTTCTTCATATATAAAATATATAATTTGACATGATTATATATGAACCCTTATAATTTATATAATTATGTATAAAAATGGACATATTTCACATATAATTTTACGATTATATGTATAATTATACAATTATTTATATATAATTATATATAAAAAAATTTTTTCCGCATTATTATTGAGAAGTACGAAACAATTAATTTTCTTTATTTTATAAAACTTTATGAAAGTATACTTTGTTAATGTTAAAAATTGCATTCAAACATTTAAAAAGTTATGTAAAAAGT